TTTTTTTAACGTGAAAATGGCGCCCGCTGCTGCTGCCGCTACAACCCAGCCATTATAGTAGAGATACAGCTGTGAGATACATTAAAGTGCTGAGTGTGTGTGTGGCTCTATAAAGAACAAGACACTCAGACATGAACATGTAGTGTTTCCTGAAGGAGGAGGAGGAGGAGGAGGAGGGGGTCAGGGAGCGACCACCAGGCGAGGGGAAGGTTCGCCTCACCTTGGCCGACTAACAGTGGACTGTTTCAGCTCCTGCATCAGAAATACACGCTGTACTACAAGCCCCACAGAAACACCCGGGGCTGAGCTCGGCACGCGCCGACACACAGCTCCTGCACCATCCCCGCCTCTTTCCTTACTTCAACATCGACTGTTCCTTCGCTTCCTCCTTCTTCTGTCGGTCCATGACACCGAGGATGATCTTCCTCTCATCCTCGGTGAGGTGGCTCAGGTCCGGCATCTCCGGCATGGCGCCGGCCGCTGAGGCAGCAGCAGCAGCAGGGCCAGGGCCGCCCCGGGGCCCGTGTGGAGCAGACATCTTTTACACACAGTGGCTACAGAGAATGAATGATAAAAGCACCATCAACCAGCAGCATCATGGGTGGGACACAGAGCTACATTTGTTTTACATTTCATGCGGTAAGAAATGAACGGTGGGTTTTCCGCTGGAGGCACCGTGGTTTACGCACGGCACTAGTGCACCATGCACATCTTATTATTACACCGTGCTGCAGAAATAAGCGTCAAAAACATCCATCACAGGCTTCACCCTCATGCTGTTAAATGCTCATGATGGGGTTTGATAAATAGTAACGCTGCAGCCGACTGATCGCTGCCTGCTAACAGGCTACATTCAAGCGGCTGCAGGTCGAAAACGCACAAATTCACACATGAAATGTTGTGAAAGAGAAAACACTCGGGATCAGAAATGCTCCTGTGAAGAGGCACGGGGTGCACAGGCTGCAGGATACAACCTTCGGCTACTCCAAACACAACCCATCCATCCATCCAGGGAGAAGGGAAATAGAAAGGGGTTGAAAAGGAACAAATGAACAACTCTTGCCTTCTATTTCGCTGTCATGTTAAATCCTGTCTAACCCATCGCTGCCATTCTTTAGAGAGGTTCCACTCGCATGTTGGAATAATCAAAGGTGGCCCGGTCCGTCCCTGTTTGTTTTCGTTTGGAGCCCTTAACCCTCCTCTGTCACTCTGCTTAGCTCGCTTTCCTCCAGGTTGGTAATTCTTGGAGATTTCTTAAATGCACAAAAATGGATGCAACGAGAGGGAGAGAGAGTGAGTGAGAGACAGGGGTGAGAGAGATACAGAGGGAGAGAGAGAGGGGAGGAGGAGGAGGGGGGAAAAAAATCCAGATAGGAAGAGGGCGGAGCGATGGAAACACGTAGAGGAATAAAGGCTGAGAGGACGCGCTGGATGTTTCATTGACAGCAGGCAGGCAGCAGCAGGGAAAACCCGGACTGGAGCCGCTGTGTGTGCAGCCGGAGCAGCTCTGTGAGCAGGGAGAGAGAGAGCACCATGCATATTTCATAACCAGATCATGAGCACTGAGAACAGGGGCCAAATGTGAAGTGGGGAGATAAATACAGAATATGACTATGGCTGCACCTGCAGGTGTGGCTGCTGTTTCCTCTCAGTGAATACACTTGCACTGTACACACTGCCAGATGGGAGAAAGGCTGTGATGACAAATGGAAGAAAATAAAGCTTAAGCATGATGTTTTTTTTCTTTATCCAAGAAAATATCTTTCAGTTTGAGAGCAGGACTAATTGATTTCATAATGCTTTCACTCAAAACCCTGCGCTTGCACACAAATAGCCCCTGTTGTGCTTAGATTTACTCTGCTTGTGCTCAAACTTTGCACTTGGACCCAATTTTTTTTCGGTGCTTGGACAGATTTCCTTGTGCTGAAGCAAGATTCTATGCACACGTGACACGTCTGCCCTGTGATTTTTCTGTGTATCAGAATTCCCCAACCAATAGAACTCCATTATGACAAATGAAATTGTCCTGTCCTAGTTGCTGCTTCGTTAGCTTTACTTCATTAGGAGTCCCGTATGCAAGTGCATGCAGTTAACACCTGTCCGTAACTCCCAAAATAAAGGTAACATGACGAGGGCAGGGCAATTTTATTTCACATGCACACAAAAGCAGTAGGAGAGCACGAGGAGATTAGCTAAAGCGATCTGTCCGAGCAACAAAATATCCGACTGCAAGCGCACAGTGGGAGCACGAGCATAGAAAATCAAAGTACAAGCAGGGGCTATCTGAGTAACAAAATCTGAACTTGAAGCCAATAAATCATGCTCTTACAAAGAGCACGCTCAAAGAAAAAAAAAAAAACATACAGTTACATGTGTCATGTCCTGCCCGATTTCAATCTTTTAGTTACTTTTAAAAAAAAACATACATTCAATGTCACAAGCTTTTAAAATAAAGTTCAGTAAAATTTTTAAATATGTTTTCTGACCTCACCCATGATAATTAAAAAGTGTTAAGGAAAATTCTAATGCATACTTTATAAGACTTTAATAAGATATTGATATGAATCATTAGTTGCAGCCCTTAATGTGAATCACAGACAGAACTGATTATCATACATAACTGGATCATGGGCTTACAATGCCTGAAGAATCCTTTATTACTAAAAACCAAACTGACAGCAGCTCCACATCCATCAGTCTTTGATTAGACCATAGTGTTTGCGTCAACCCAGCTGCAAACCCACCATAGCCACATCTTGTATTTCTCAGCTGAGTCCCTCCACTTGATCCCCAACATGTTCCCGTAGACAGCCTGTGTGCTCTGTGTGTCTCAGGCTGCAGTGTTGATAGGATTTGAAGGACAACATTAAGAGGATAGAGTCTCCACCTGATTAGGCTTGTAAGTAAATTAGCACCAGCGCAGTGATCTGCTCCAACAAGTCAAACACCACAAGTTTAAGTTCTGAAAAATTTAGATCATTAGTCTTCCAAACATGATTTCTTACACTTCTTTTTTATTATAAATACACATCAGTGAACAGTGTCAACCCATATACAAATGGATATGGTTTTTAAAAACATTATTTAGTCTGTAGGGAATAAGTTTAACAACTGAGAGGAAACTTGTAAAAGTTTCAGGATGTGATGTGTAGTACAATAGAAAAGAAACCAGCCAGACCCCAAAACTGCCAAATAGAACATCAAAAAAAAGTGCTACCTATAGAAGCACTGTATGAATGMGTGTGTGAATGGGTGAATGGAAAACTGTAGTGTAAAGCGCTTTGAGTGGTCTTCAAGACTAGAAAAGCGCTATATAAATACAACCATTTACCATTTACCAGTGCAGATAGATATACTGTGTTTTTACTTACAGAACATTGACCACCTTTGTAGCTAGGTGTGTAATGCAAATAAAATGTTATCATGTTTAAATTAAGAAAGGCAAAAGAAAAAAAAAGATGTGTTGAAAATTAAACATGGATACAGACAGGAGGGGGTTCATCACTTTAAACAGATTTGATATGTGAATATACAGAATCTGTACGTGAGGGACAAGATTCCATTTCTTGTTTGAGCAGGCTTTGGCTGCCCACACGTAAACAGTCTATGTGGAGAACCCATAGAAGTTGAACACATTGACTGAACGGCATCGGCTAACATCTTTTTCTTTTATCTTCATTCATAATCAAATGGCTGTTAGAGATTAGCCAAAATGCCGTATGGACTTAAACCACCAACAAAATGTATCACTGTTTGTCTTTTGTGTGGAAACACCTTTGACTCGTGTGATAAAAGAAAGTAGTCGGACTGTTAACACTGAACAGATGGTCTACACAGGAAGCCTCAAAATATTGGCCATTGGCCCCAGAGGCTAATTTGATGTCAGGAGATAGCTGATGGGCTCTGAGATAGGGAGGAGGTTATGACCCATGTTCCAATGCGTCTATTCATAACAGATGAATCCAGTCTTACCTTTAGACATGATGGGAAACACATCATATCACCTGAATCCTCAATGACACGAGGAACACAATTTGTTACAATTATGATGCAAACAGATTCCAAGTGAAGACACACACAGTTTAATCCATCCTTAATTTATTCAACAGTTGTGGAATCTTGGCTCCTGTGATGGAAAATGCAAACTTGCATAAAGAAAATAATGTGATTATTCCTGAAGTTAGACCAGAATCCTAACAATAAACTAATGGAAAAGGCAAAGCTGTTCTCTTACTTAGTAACAGAAGGTGGAAACAACACAACATTTGTTCTTCTCGTATGAGTTGATCTGTGTCCTTGAAGTTGAGCTCCCACCTTCCCACAATGAACAAGTTGTGGTGTTTTCTATTCTCAAGTTAGATCAGTCTGAACAAGTCCCATGAGGGTGCGATCTTGAGCTCATCTCCTGCTGACAGTCCCCCGGTTCTCCATTATCTTCTCCGGCTCTGTTTATTTCAACACAGTGACGACATGCTTCTCCTTCTCAGACACCACAGGAACCGTTCCTGGTTTGCTGTGCTTGCGGACGTTCCTCTCCCTAAAAAGCAAAGAAGAGTTTAAGATTACAGGAAATTCAGGAAAGAATGGGAGGAGAGGGTGAGCAAACAGAAATGAAGAGGGAGGAACAGATTGGATATGAGACTATTGACCCAACACCTACGTCAGCAGCCGCACTAATGTACCCTTAAAATAATGCATAATACACCATGGTAAATCATTCACAAGTCCAAACACATGTCTGACATATCACTGTCCTGTCTGTAATTACAAAACAGAGCTGTGGACTGAGCTATGAATCACTGTCCACAGGGCAAACTGGAACAATCAATCCACTAAACAAGCTGTAAATGTGCATGGGAGGTCTGTTGAGACAGTGTCATGTTGGGGCAGTCCGATCTGTGTGATTTTCCATTAGGCTGGTGTGACGGCATAGATCAGTCCCCATCATCTCTGCAGGGACGTAGAGGCGACTCCATTCTTGTGGCTAAGTTCAAGGTTCAGCTCCTACAGCAACATTAACACAATGGAAACTTACTTCCTACGGCGAGCCTCTTTCATGACCCGCAGCTCTTTGGACTCGTGGTAGATGTTCTTGGGTAGATGTCGGTGGTGAGCGATGCGTCGGATCTGCGGGTGGTGCTGGAACTTCTCCTTCAGCTTCTGGCTGTAGTTGGCAGCCGCCCTCTCTCTGGGGGCCAGCTAAATGACACCACAGTGGAAGAAATGATGACAGAGAGTCAAGCAACAGGCGAAAAGTTTGGAAAAATAAAGAGGGAAAAGAGAAATGTGGCATAACAAGACAGTGAGGAGAAGACATAGCCACCCATGTCTGCAGTTCCAAAATGTATTAATGATTGATTAAGGCATCTAAAATGATGATTTCATTGATTTCTCAGAAGTCATGGATCTTGATGAAAAGAAAAATACCGCATGGTATCTTCGTCATCCTGTATATACATTTCTATGGATATATACACTGGCTCCAACCATAAAGTAGTTTGGCACATGAACCCCATACTGTTGCAAGCTTTCACAAGT